AATCTTACGCCAAAAATGTGCGTAAGACAAAACGTAAGAGCAAATTTGTATTCACGAAACGAAATTATCATAAGTTTTGCGCAGGTTACGACGGAATCCTGCGGCAGCTCCGAAGCTGTCTTACGCACTTCTTACGATCAAATCAGCATGGCCGACAGCGTCGCGGTCGCGACGACCCATGGACGTTTATTTTTCTACGTGCGCTTCTCACGCGTCCCGACTTCAAGCAGCAAAAAAAGTAAAAAGTACTTGAAACAGACCACGACGAACAAGAACGCTGGATCCACAAACACTCGGGAAAAGCTCCAACGGCCACGATTTCAGCGAACGCGACCAAGCGAGCACGGCAGTTAGGCCTAGCAGGTACAGGGTGTCACAAAAGAAAATTTACAGGGTCTTTTTTACCGCAAAAATAAACTAGGCATCGCCGAACGCTCATTCTCCGCCCAAAGGTAAAGCTAGAGGTCACAACCAGATGCCAAAGTTTCAGCCCGATCCGATAACTTAATCAAAAGTTATAAGTGATTTTCTGAAAATTTCAATGGGAAAATGGAGCCCATTTTTGCCCGTTTTCGGTTTCTGGTGCCATAGACCCCCATGTGTTTGAAAACTCCGTCGGCCGCCATTTCCCCATTGAAATTTTCAGAAAATCACTTATAACTTTTGATTAAGTTATCGGATCGGGCTGAAACTTTGGCATCTGGTTGTGACCTATAGCGCTACCTTTGGGCGGAGAACGAGCGTTCGGCGCTGCCTAGTTTATTTTAGCGGTAAAAAAGACCGTGTAAATTTTCTTTTGTGACACCCTGTACTCTGCGACTCGGCGACCGTCTGCCCACGACCGGCTGGCTGCTGAATGGAATATGCCCGCGCGACCCTTGTGAACCCTTTCCGTAATATACTTTGATCGCTGACCTCAATTTTAGATTAAGAGGTCAATTTCTTCCTCTTGTTATCTCCTTGTTTCCCGAGGCAACGGTGACTCTCGCCAGTGAAAGAGCGGTGAATCTCCGACAGACGCAGGAAAGGTAAAGCTGCCATCGCTTTGACTAGCAGACGTAAAGCAGACGACGTTAACTGCGCCAACCCGCCGAGGCCGCTAAGGAATGAGGGGTCTCGCCGCACACGAAAGGAGGGAAAAAGTATTTGGGAGGGAACTTGCGGACACGCTCACCTCTCGGTTCTTAGCAAACAAACCTCGGCGCCTAGGTACACCTCGCCAGTGAGTCCTTTAACTTCCCTCCTTGATGCGCGTCTGCTAGTGGTTAGACAAAAACAACTCACCGCTCGAGTTATTTCGTCTGCCCTCTCTGAAAGGCGAAGTCGAGCTCGCTCGTAAAGACCTGCACTTCCGAAAGTCGCAGGAAAGGTGAGACAGACGCAGACGACGTTGCGAGCAGACGACATTGCAAAGGAGCAGACGACGCTGAGATAGGGGGTCGCGATCAGCCAATCAGGGCTCGGCGTTCTGACGTCACCGCTACTTCCTTTCTAATGCGCAGAAGACAAAAATGAGCCCACTTGCGAGGCGTATTCCGCTCAGTTGTGGCAGCCAATAGACCTTTTCCACAAGGGCGTCGCCATCTTGAATTGACGTCACTTCCAGTATGGGCGAAAACGTAACTTTGCCGTTGCCACGCCAATAGAAGACATTTAGGATATAAGCCTAACCGTCACACATTCTCGTTTTGGCTCGCCTCTATTTTTTTACTAGTTACAGGTTGAAACGTTTTACTTTTTTTTCGTCGCCCATACTGGAAGTGACGACAATTCAAGATGGCGGCGCCCTTGTGGAAAAGGTCTATACATCGGCCAGACGGGACGATGCCTGAACGCTCGCCTTAGGGAACACTTTCTAAAAGTCAACAAGGCGTCATTCGACTCCTACCATCCGATTGTTGTCCGTGCCCGCACCTGCCAAGATTGCTCTCCTAGCTATGAAAACACTACCGTGTTAGGCTGACACAAGGACAAGTATGGCCGAGAGATAATCGAAGCATTTAAGATCAAAACTGCCAGAGGCAATGTTTCCGATCCCTCGATGTCGTTATTGACATCAAAGATGGATTTCCTAGCGCCGGAGTCGTCATAGAAAACATCTCCTCCAGTTTCTTCTTCTTCTTCCTTTTCGGGAAGTTAAGTTCAGCCATCTTTACTTTTACCTTTTTCTAGTATCTTCTAGTATTTTTGTCTTCACTTAATTTTCTCTGTGACCAAAGTGGTTCATCATTTAAATGTAGTTGCTCGTTGAAAGAACTGTGTGTTTCTGTCTCTCGTATATTTTCTGTGTTTTTATTCTTTTCGTGTGAACTGACATTCCTTAGTTCGGGCGTCAGCGGTGCAGCGGATGTTCCATTATCCGGCGCGTAAAGCCAGGGCACAAAGGACTGAGAAAACCGAACGAGCCCTTGTATACAAGCACACAAAAAGTTACTGTCAGCTATGTATGCTTTCCGTGTTCATACCAGCATACAGAACTGGGTAGAAAAATCACGCAAGTAAAAAACAAATTTTCACAATGCTCCACTTATTTATTTATTTTTTTTTTTTGTGAAGCGAAACTTTTTTTAAAAAAATTTTTCACAAGCTTTTTTTCTTTCTTTTTTTCGCTACAAACATGAAACAATAGCATTTTTTTTAATCCAAAGGTTTACTTTGACAAGCGTATTCGATTTCAAATGAAACCGCTCAGCTGCCTTTGTCCCCACCGTACTCGTCGAGCGTGTTCGAACGCTAGACAAAGGCTGCTAGTTTAGACCTACCCCCCAATCGTTCCAATCAGAGCCCGGCGTTCTGAAGACCCCGTGCGCTCTCCGTCTCTTCCTCTCCATCACTTTCTCGGCGCATTCGTATTCGATTCAACATTCGACTTTGTGGCCACTACTCGGCACTATTCCATTCGAGTTCTCAAACTCATTTGAGTGTGGTGGACAGATTGCCCACCCGAGAAAGGTCGAGGGCTAACGTAAGCCGGGATGGAGGAGGGGGAGAGAGATCGGGAATCGAACGTCTAAAAGAAAAAAAAAATCTGTTTATTTGTATATGACAGTTCTTGCTTTCCAGGCGATATTTGCACCAGCGGTCTGAGGAAAATATTTCTATTTCAATGGTGACATTTTCTGAACGCGAGATTCGAGCTTTATCTTTGACAGTTGTTTCTGCTGAAAGAGAGAGAGTTCGTGCAGCCGAGGTGCGTCCTTGAGCAAACAGCTCGCACTTGCAGCCTAGCAGCGGAATATACCTTTTAATGCCCAAGCATCAAAAAAAAAAAAAAATGCTGGGAATGTAAGTACACGCGCTGAACGCCGTTCGCCTGATCCGTATTAAATATTCGAAGTAAACAACCAAACTAAGACGTTGATGAGCGCGCTTGCGAGGTGCCATTTGTATTGAGTTTTTACTTTAGAACAGTTACTGCTGCACACTGCAGTACGCGCAGTGCCTGCGACTACACGCGCGCACTCTCCTTGGATTGGGGCAATTTAGCAAAAAAAAGTATGCGGACCGCAAGTTCGTGTGCACGGGAGTTGCGATGACGTCAAAGCGCCAAACTGATTCTAGCATTGAGGTAGACCCACTATCCTTTCAATCAAAGCCAATCAAAGCTCAGCGTCGTTCTGACATCACCGCAAAACCTGCGCAAAGAAGCAGACGACAGAGTAATATAAAGTTAAACTATGGTGCCTGGAACGCGTTTCCCACTGGTGTGTTTACCTCGTCACCAAAAAAGTGGTCCCTCGATTTCCTGATGACGTCATAGAAGTGTTCGCGACCCTGGCGGTGTCCCAGCAGCTGTGGTGGATGTAGCGGACGCCTGTTCTGCTGCAGGTCGCTCTTCATTTTGACAATCCTCGGAAGCTAGAGCAGCCGGAAGTTGGGACGCCTGGGACGCTATGACGACAGCGACACTCGCGTTTGCTTGTGCTTTTCGCCGGCATTTCTACAACCGCCAGGATCGCGACATGCAACAGCATGACACTCCGGCTTCTGTGACGTCATTTATTGCCACTTCGGGACCACTTTTGATGTATGGGCGGCATAGGACGCTAAACACACCAGTCGGAGACGCGCTCCAGGCACCGTAGTTAAACTATGCGATTACGTTATTAAAGCATAGCTATGTTTCGAGCGGAAATTAATCGGCGACATGAGATCATGCCACTTCAAGCGCTCGAGCCTCGAAACATGGGAACGGGCCCAAGTTCAAAGCCGGTTGCCTGCGGGCCGTGTGTTGGACACCTTTAGAGTAAGCGATCGGTTTAAAAAGTGGGTTATGTGTGTTTCGGATCATGCTGTACAATTCATGACATCAACCGAACGAATTAACGCATCGTAACGTAACTATAACACGTTTTCCATCAGATATTTTGGGCATGACCCGCTGCGCCTTTGTAGCCTAGTAAATCGGTGGATGGCAGTGATTGGTATGCGTGCAATAATCGTGTCTGAAAATAAAAATAATAGACTAATAATTTAATGGCAGGAAACATGTCTTTGAAGCACATGGCGCACGCGCTGCCTCTTCGCTAAACGGATTCCTCCCATAGTATCTCCGAGGGGGCCGAAGACATCCAACGGACAGGTCACGACTTCGCTGGTGCCGGACCACCCTGTCAGCCACGCCAAGTCGTGACGCATATTCAACCACACTTTCTCCTTGGGAATGAGCGGATGGATGAGATATGGTGGGACCACGTACGCACTGTGTCTGCCGCGCGCATAGTCACCCAGGCACGCGGGGAATATGAATATCGGTTTATTTTCTCTCTCTCTCTCTCTCTCTCTCTCTCACTCTTGATTGATGAGCGTGGAGGGGTGGAGGAGACTGGCCTCTTTGATCCGTCCGAACTAAGGCCTTAATCCGAACCGCGCGCGTCCGCGCCGCCGCTTGGTGCGGGTTGAATAAAACGTCACGAGATGGCGCCACCAGTGCCGTTCGCTCCAGTTATCCGTTTTTCTCTATTCGGTTCTTGCCGTTCTTGCGCGCGTGCGCGCGCTAATGCGGAGATCCATCCATCCAACAAGCGAGATACAAGATGGCGGCGCCCAGCGGTACGAGTCGAGTTCTAGTCCAATACGTGGTAGTTCGCAGCGATTTATTGACCGAGCTCAAGTGGCCCACCGGAGCGGTGATCGCGCAAGCTTGCCACGCGTCTACGGCCGTCCTTCACCTGTTTCGAGAGGACCCAGACACGCGAGAGTACACGGAAAAGCTGGAGAGCATGCACAAAGTCGTGCTGGAGGCAACGTGCGAGGCCAAGTTGACACAGCTCTCACAAAAGCTCACCGATGCCGGCGTGGACCATAAACTGTGGACGGAACAACCCGAGAACATCCCTACGTGCCTGGCGACGAAACCGTACTCGAAGACGGAGGTGCAGGCTCACTTTAAGAACTTCAAACTGTTCAAGTGAAAGTGACACGTATCCTGCTAGTTCGCGGCCTTCACCAGTGCGATTCTTCGAGGCATCGTTCCGTGCCGACAGGCTCGCTTGTTTTGCTGCCGGAGTGAACGGCTTATTGACGTCTATAAATAAACTGAACGGCCGTGCTTGCCGTTACGTCTGTGGCACGACAGGATTCATTGAACTGATACGGGGTTTCGTCGTTTCGCCTCGGACCGGAAATAGAGCGTGAGCCGGAAGAGGCATTGGAGCTATCAGCTGTCTGCTGCTGAACGCTGCGTGGACGGTGCAATATACAAAGCAAAATGTCCGTTAACTGGATTTACAGCGAGAGAGGTCTCTCTGTCTTTGAGATATAGTTACACTGGTTTACACATCAGATGATTAATTTAGGCGGTGCAGTGCGACTACTTAGCTGGCATTTTGGACTTACAGTGAGCTTATCCAGATCGAAGCCTTGCTGATAAGACGTCATCGATGATGATAATCAGGTGCACAGAGAGAGAAAAAAAAATCAGGATTGGATAGAATTTACGCACTAGTTAAGCCGGTTTTGTGCACAAAACCGGCTTAACTAGTGCATACGTTTTATTCAATCCTGATCGTTTTCTCTCTCCCTCTCTTTCCATTAGAGTATTTATAAAGAGGTGTTCTGAAACATCTAACCTGTATAGTTTGTGACAGGTTAACACCCACATCTTTTCACCTTAGCAGAGCAAACATTGGAGAGGACTTTACCTCCTCTCCAGCGTTCACTCTGCTAAAGTGAAAAGAGAACACTCGAACAGCTGCAAAGCCAGTAATGTCTTTTTGTAAGATCTCATAATTCTGGTTTCACCAATGCTGGTGAGGGGTTGGGGGCAGTGGCGCCACGAGGGTAACCGGCACCCGGGGCAATAGCCCGCCGCGACCCGGGGCAGTCCGCCCCGGGTGCGCTCAGTCTTTCTGAAGATTACTGCTTTAGTGGTTCTCGATGACGCTGAGCAAGTTTCTAATTGGAACCATATGTCTGTTTTCAGTAATTAAAACGTTCATTAAATAATTTTAATTAATTAGCCGACTTATCGCAAAGATTGGCCACCCCCATAATGTCTCCTTGGCCGTATAACTAGCCTCCACAAGCCGCATAAGTGTAACTTTAACGGCTTCTTTTAAACAAATATGTTTAGTTAAAAAAAAAAAACTGTATATATGTATGTCTTTGTAAGTGTACAAATTAAAAAAAGAAAACAACTTTAAGGCTACATTTATGCAGTTCGCGCAGGTGACCTATACGAAGAAGGACATAGCATAGGAGGCTAATCGTAACGAGCAGTCGGCTAATTAATTAAGATTCGTTAATTAACTTTGTAATTAGTGAAATTAGTGAAATGATTCCTCCGAGAAACTTGCTGAGTGTCATCGAAAACCATTAAATCAACTCTATTTAGAAAGATATAACGCCGGGGCAGCATTTTACGGCGTTCCGTAAAACTCTCAATTTGGACGCGTTTCTAATTTTCGGTTTCTTATCGAAGCGTATCTCTGCGCCCGCGATCCTCTTTCCCAGTGGCCGATACGTGCGGTGCTGCGCTTTCGTAGAATTTCCACACGTTCTCCAATGCAATTCTCACCGTTTACACGCAAACTTCTTCGGCATATGAGGACGAACGAGCAGAAAACGTGTCTTCATCACGCTGCCTCCCAGCCTCAGCAACGCTCCAAAAGGTCGAGTATTCGAGTCCCAAGATGGCCGTCCGGTGGCCGCACTTGTGCTGCATCGACCAAACGGGGATGCGCGATCCAGCATATTGTCATAGAGATAAGTGGACTCGGCGCACAATGTATGGAATGAGCGCCATGTTTGCACTCATCTTGATGCGGATGTGTTTCGAAGATGTTTTTGACAAATTGACGCAGGACGGGCGCCTATGGGGCCACTGCTACGCTTCAAGGTAACGACACTTTTAAACAGTCTGGTTGGGACACGCGTGTCGAAAAATAACTTTTACGCGAAAAAAATTTTTGGAGCATATTGACGGCGAGAGATTTATTTGGAATTCCTCGCGCAAAGTCCATGACGTCACGGGTCATTCCGGAATGACCATCTCGGTCGTGTGCTCTTTCCACCTCAACGTGAAGGCGAAGCCGATCAGCCGATCCACCTTTCCTCCACGCGCCCGAAATGCCGAGAGAGAAAACAAGTGGAAAGGAGGTGACTACCGACTAAGTCGCGTCTCGCGCCGTAAATATCGCTCTAACTTTTTTTATTTTTTTTCGCATATTTTTTTTTTTTTTGAGACGCGTGTCTTAATTAATTTGTTAAGAAAAAAAAAATTCAGGGGTCTTTTAAATTTAATTTAAAGTCGAGGAAACTTTTTTTTTTTTTTTTCGTTCTTAAAATGTTAAAGCGGTCCGCGACCGGGCGAAACGTTATTACAATCGCAGTTTCCTGAGACCGCGTCTAAAGCTGAGGAAGTCGCATTTTCCAATCGTAACGATGCACTGGGCACCAAAATGGAGGTGCCCACACGAAAATAAGGGGGTGGGTGCCGTTGCTCCAGACCAGCACACTCAGTGGCTCGGGCGCAGCTTTGAACGACGACCGGTCAGCACCTCGGCCAATCCCCCGATCGAATCGGAAAACAGAACGCGTCGAAAACGTTGGGCTCGCCGTGCGATCGATCGGCCGTCGTCAGCATCTCTCGAGAAGCCCCATCGCGCAACTATGCGGGTGTTGCCGACGGCCGGCGCCTCTTTCGTCAGCGTCGACGGTTCGCCCACGCAAAGCGATGTTTCATCCATTCACTCGTCGTAGTTCAGCGATAGCCACCTCGTCGGAGGACAGTGGTTGATTTCGAAACATCTGTTATGCGTCCAGTATACTTTGCGTCTCGTTTTGATGTGGACAGATTGGAAACCAACGAAAAGGAGCCTCTGGCAGTCAGTTAAGCATTTTATTGTCTTCCATCATGCTACCTTGCGAAAAGTCACCGGGTGAGGTACGATACAAAGGAAACATTTTTCACATTCACCTTAGAATGGCGAGAAAAACAAAATACATAAAAAAATGCAGGTGAGAAAATGTAGCGCAGCCGTCGGCTAGCTTCCGTGGGGTACACCGTTGTCGTAAGGGTCAGCCTGCCTAGTATGATGCAGGCTGTCGCTGTCCTTCGTTTGCTTCGCGTGAATTTACGGGTTAGTCTTTGTTTAGGGCATTACATCATACGCCCACTGCTTTTTTTTTTTTTATATACATGTAAAATGTGAACGGCCTGGGCTCTCGGATAAAATGCAAACGAAGTAACCTGTGCAAAGCGTGCAAAGGAAAGAGAAAAAATATTTTGGTATTTCCTTTTACACATCGTAGAGGGGGTTGGTCGATTTTACTAGTCCTTTTTAAGCTATAACGAATACTTAAGTACTACGTACCGAACTTCACTTATAGTCGAATTTAGTTTCACTGAGTCGAAGACCCTCCAAGAAGCGAGGCGCTACTCAGCTTGGTCTTGGAGAGCGCTTCTGTGTTCTCGTATGCGCACTCTGTTGTGGCGGTTCAGCTGGCTCAGCGACATAATCCGACCCATTTCCCTCGACTACACATCGGCATATTTAGTAACAAAGTGACCAAAAAACGCGTGCTTATGTTTCTGTTGTCGCGGGGTTCTTATTTCATGCTCCGCCGTCCGACGCCTGCCCGCGCTCCTTGAAGTCAACCTCGTCGACGCTTAAATCTCCGAGACGCGGAGGGTACTGTCAAAAGCCACTCTGGCTGGCAAGCAATTGCTTCCTTCGCCGACGCATCGTCTATGAGTCTCCCGTCGGAAATAGACCGACATATGTTGTTGCGTTATGTGGGTGAGGGTTCCCTCGTGCGTGTGCCTGTTTTTCTTTCCTCGACCCAATCGCCCCTGAATGCATATTGCGAGCGTTCCCCGTCGTGCCCAATATAATGCGCTCGTGCGCTCGATGTAGACGGGATCGCCGACTTTCCCGGCCCCCGAGACAGAGCCGCCGGAAATGGGCCGCTGTTGAACGTACCGTCGTTCGACTGGCGGAGGAAGAGAAATTTATGTAGTGCGGGTTTCTCGTGAACTGCCGTATTGAAGCCCAGGTGCCTGTAATATGATGTGGGTTTAACACGGTGAAGCGATGAAGGGGTCGTTTATATATTTCGGTTATAGGTCAGACTAGCCCCAGGACGGGTCTAAAGCTAGTCCTCAATCATTAGTGGAATCGTGCCGATGCCTTCTTTCTTTCTTTCTCTCTCTCGTGCATCGCTTCGTCTCTGTGTTAATTGAATTAACACAAAAAGATGCAATATGTAAACTTTAACTAATTGATTAAAATTTCTGCTCGCGGTGACGGGGAACTGGCGAGCCGCATAAATATTTATGATTCAGCTAATGAAAATGGAAAGAACACCTCTCAGTCACGGGTGAAGAGTTTAGAGGAAGCTCCTCCCACCTCTTTCCACTTCAGCAGACTCAACGGTGGAGACGAGTCGACCTCCTCTCCAGCGTTCGCTCTGCTAAAGTGGAGAGAGGTGGGAGGAGCTTCCTCTAAACCCTTATCATGTGACTGTCTATAGGTAACTCATGCAAACAAATATTCTGGTTACACTAGCGCTCTCCACTGTCATTAAGCCAACGATCGTTGACCTCTCCCAACTGTCACTGAGCTCAGCTAAGTTGTCCGGTATTACATGGTACATAGGCCTGACGACCCCAGTTGAGATGCGCGTCAAGGGACACAGTTGGAATCGAAACGAAACTGAAATAGATATCACATTACCTTATCTTAAAAAAGTGTTGGAAAATAAATTATATACACACTTATCATACATTATAAACGTTAAAAAAAAAAAGAAAAAAGAAATGAACTTCTTTCTTTTATGTTTTTAGAGCAAAGAAAAGATAATCAGAACGTTTCACACGAATGAAAGGAAGAGATACACGATGAAAGACTTATCGACACCGACATCCCCATGGTCACCCTCGCCCGAGCCACCGAGCTTTGGCCATAGAGTAACATAGTAAACGTAAAGAGAGGACACAGGAGCCGATTCACGGCCCAGATAGTGCGTTTCATACCCTCCGCTACACGGCGCTTTTCTGCAATTTAGTTAAAATTACTTAAAACTCTTTCTGTGTAAAGTGTTTATTTTTTAATAGGCA